TGCCCGTGCTCTTGCCCTATGGACCATACACTGTGTAGCGATGCTTTAAACTAAGAACTGAGACTCAACTCACTTGGTGGGTGGGAGATGAGCCTTTAAGTCCCTCAAATCTCTTCAGTAGCAACTTTAAGAACATAATTCATACACTTAGTTTCCTACCTCTGGGATACTGCCCTGAAGAGAGGAAATTTAAGAGACTCTACAATAGTTCAGATGATTAATCCTAAAATCAACCTTATTGTCATGTATATTTAACTTTGTGATATGGTCTCAACTTTTGGGTAGGCTCCTAATATGTATCCATCTTCAGAATGCTGGATCTTGCTGTCTTACTCTCTCTGTTTAAATTCTAATTTCAAAACTGCCTGACTTGGAAAGTCTGAAGTCCTAGAATTAACAGCCCCTCAACCTGCATGTCTTGTGTCTGGACCCAGCTGATTGCCTGTCACCAAACCCTAAGTCACTCACTGGAACTTGGTGTGCTACCTGTGGCAGGATATCCCAAACGCTGACTGTCCATGCAGATGAAACTGACCTAGCACCTGCCAGGGCATTGCATGGACTCCAATGCTTCCTGACCCTCCCACTGCTGCAGCCTCCTGGGACCTGCACAGCTATACCTCCAGTGGTGGGGCCTTCCCGTTGGCATTTCTCCCATGAAATTTATACTAAAGTCTGTGTCTATTCTACAAGTCTGAGGACAGTTTAGGATCCATTCTCATTTCCCAATGCTTGATCTTATGTTGATAACTTTGTTTCAAGATAAAGAGTTCATATTGTTCAGTGATTTTTCATTATTATATTCTTGAATAGATTACTAAATGGAATACAGGGTGGACAACATGAAGAGATGTAATAAGACTGATAAAAGTACTTTTTAAATGAAAATCTTATTTGACAAATTTTATCTTTCCTTGTCATTACCAAGATATCATATCAAATTAAATCCTTTTGTCTTCCCAGTATAGTATGACATGATATAAAAACAAAAGAAAACAAAACAGAACTTTATCTCTTACTATTTGAGAACAGGCAAATACTAGATGTGTATCCTACCAAATATAAAAGATAATTAAGCCTCTGGTAGGTTTCTTTTAACTGTATTATTTTATATGTTTCTATGGTTTAGGGTCTAGAGGCATACTTAGATATATTTGATAGATCTTTTGGAATTTCCTTCAGAGAACCAGTAAATTTTCAAGATCATCATAGATCAGTACTATTAGTTTTGTTGATTTTTTTTAAAGGTGATATTCATAAATCATAAATGGAGAGAGTTTGCATGTATCCAGGATAAAATTTTTTCAGTGGATGTTAGGAAGGAAACAGGCACACAAAGACTGAGAAAAGGAAACTCACCTTTGTTGTATATTCACTCTGGGCTAGCCCCTGTGGAAAGCCCCACTTATTTAATGCTTATAAGAATTATTTATAGTAAGTCATTATTATTCTCAGAGGATTAAACACACTCAGAGAAGGTGTATAATTTGTTCAGGATTACATAGCTACCAGTGGGTTGTACCTGCATTCATACTTGTATTGGGCTCATCTAAAAAGTCAAGCTTTTTATCTTAAACAGTTCCAGAGCACTGAGATTCCTTAATGGCACACAGTTTTGTCTAGTAAAACTTTTGCTCTGATCTAATTTCCCTTGATATATAATAGAGTAATTATTGAGACTTGTTACAGACATATGGTGTCAAGGAGGACCATGGGCTCCTTCTGTAAGGCATTTCACAGCAAATGCTATAAGGAAAGATTGAAATGTTACATCACTCTACAAGAAGATTGTGAGAGGCTATATTGTTATTTTGATGATGGGAAAGATATGATACATTGAGATGGGAATGAATATTTACTCATCTACTCATTTTTTTTTTGCATTTCATATGATGTAATAAAATATAAATTAATAACTACAAATATTAAACAAATTCCACATCTCCTTGTAAGAAATTATAGTGACTTTAATTTTGGATTCCAGTACCAAAAAAGATGTTGTTCTTCATGTCATGAAGAGACAGTTTACAACTGAGTGCTACATTCCCCTTCCTCTTCAATAAAAAGGACAATATTAAAGACTTAGAATTAGAAAGCTTCATTTTACTTAAAACAAAAGTAATCAAAATACAAGGAATAATAGAAGTGTTTTTAGAGGTGACAGGATATATTGCAAATGTAGCTACTATCTTTTCTCTAAGTTTAGCTATTCTCAGCCAGCTTAAGCTGACATGGGAAAAGGAACTTTGTGGATAAAATATGCACACCATGATGGAAGTAGCCAAGATTCTCCTCCAGAAGCTTAGAAGAAATTTTTTTTCCTGCTTCACATCACTCACAATGCCACAGTACTCAAGAGGTGAAGCCAACTCCTTTCTTTGTCAACACAAGCTGCCATATCTAAGGTAGATAGACTTGGGGGAACATTCGGTCAATTCTTCCTCACTGGATAGCTGAGAAGTTGTTTTAGAGGGCCTACCATGTCTTCATGGCTTTGTGATATTCCAAAAGGAGGACAAGTTTAATCAAATCACTAAATGAAGACAATTAATTGAAGTTTATCAGTTTTTGTCCACCTACAAACAAACCCATTCACAAACAGTAAATGATCTGGGAGAGAGGTTTGTTTGTTGGTTGGTTTTTTTCTTTTCAGACCCACCAAATAAGGACATTTGTGAATTGCTGAAGCTAATCAAAAGTGCAAAGAAAAGATTTATTTTTTTATTCTGTACTTTTTGAAAACAAGTTTGAAACGCATAGTGCATACTAAGGAGAAATCAAAAGCTCAATACTGTCAAGTACATATAGTTTCTCAGAGAGAGATCGGCAAGCTGCAAATCAAATGGTATTTGTTGAGGATGGCATTCTAAGCGAAAAAAGCCTTTGTCCATGAAAGGATTCCATGTTCTCTAAAGATTCTCTCTTTAAAGAAACACTCTTGGAGTATAGATTAATTTACAACCTATTTAAAATATTTCAATAAGTTAATTTGAAGCTCTTTTTCACAATGATTTATTCTATTCAAACACACTGTCAGAAATAAAGATTTTTTTTGTTTTTGGTTATTTTTAAGCATTAGGGGAAAATGTCCTCTACTTGAAGGCAATCAAGTCTATTGCTCTTGGAGATTTTGGGGGCTAGACTTCTCAAATCCACAGAGAACTCTCTTAGAACTAATGGAATTAGATTACTTTTGAATTTGCACCCCAACTTTGAATAGTCGCTAATTCCTTTCTTTGCTCTTTTAGTGTTTGCAAAGGGGTTCACTAAAGCCTGAATTGATATAATTATTGGCTCAGATTGTGAGAGATCTAGGCCAGATGGCTATGGGTCTCTAAAGTCCCAGTTGGTAGTGGTAGTTTCCCTAGTTTGCCTCTAGGGTTTGGGGATCAGCAATTTGAAAGGGCTACAAACTTGTAAAACAGTATTATTCATGGGGGCAGAATGTTCATCAGCGTGACCCAGTACTAAATACATTCATTATAGGCATTTCTATTCTGCACAATTTGCCACACAGCACTGGTTTCTGGAGGGGGAGAAAAAGACAATGGCTTATAAAATGCTTTTGAATGTCTAAAAAGAAGGAGAGTTCACGCTGAGACTCCTCTGCTTTCTTTTTTGGGAAAAACCGTCTTAGTGACTTTTTAGCTGAGCTCTGCTGAGAGTAAGCAAAGTGGAAAAATAAGAAAATTACTTTTTTTTATATGTTTCTGGGGGGCAAAATAGAGAGTGGGAGAAAAATAAATGGAAAAAGTGACAAATTATGTGAAACAGTAAACCTGCAAGTGGATGAAGACAGCTGAGGAATAATGCAAGAGGCACCAAAAAAAAAAAAAAAAGCAGCAGTAGAGCCACGATGATAAACTTAAAAGGAATTGCACAGCAGAAAGAACATCATAAATAATCATATTTTCAAGTAAGAATACCATAGCAGTTTCTGTGACCTGGATAGAGCACAAGCCTCCCATGATATTTCTTAGCATTTTGATGCACAAGAAATGCAATTTTCAGCTCAGGCATTTTTTTTCTTCAGTGCAAACAAGCTTTGGGTTTTTAAAATCCATATCTGAAAACTGTTTTCATAAATAATACATACATTATAAAAATTTGACTTGTCAACTATTGAGTCCATGTCCCACCAGCATTCACTGTGAACACTTACCGTGTATATATATAGTACCTTTTGGAAGAGCTTAGCATGCTAAAGCATGAAATGTCTTTTACTCAGGGCAAATAGGATTTTTTTGAAGTACAGGACAAAGAAATATAGCGGGTTTTGCCCAAACTCAAAGAAATAAGTGGTGTAATGTATTAACTATATTGCAAATTAGTTTCAAATCCTAAGGTGTTATTTTAAATCTTGCTAATTAAAAGAAATCAGGAATGGAAAATAGCCCTTTTCTTATCTCCAAAGAGATGAAAGTAAAACAGAAAATGAAACCTCTACTTGTTCTGTTCTTTATAAGAGAGCCTCAAGAAATGCTGCGTGTGCTCACAGGAGGAAGACCCAAGTATTTACCGAGGGGGAGGGGGCAGAGGCGGACTGAGTAGCATAATGAGAAGCAGTTTTCAAATTTTATTAAATTCCCCCACCAACAAAATGCACTTAGAGGTATTTTAAGTTAAACCGGTACTTAAAGACTATGAAAAGCAAGATGATTACATGTTTGTGGAAGAAGAAAGAGCAATTAAGAAAACCAGCGCAATTTAAAATGCCATATAAACAAAGGCGACCAGAAGTTGATTTAAAGTTTTCCTTCTGTAATTTGTCTCCCCTTTGTCGTGGCACGCTCAGAGAAAGTGAATGCAGTCAGTTGAGAGGGAGGGGCAGCAGGGAGGACGTAGGAGGAGCAGCCAGGGAGCCGCGCCGTCCGCCTTCCCCAGCCCCGCCCGCCCAGCTCCGCGCCCCCCGCCCCGCGCTCCCGCCCCCACCCGAGTCCGCCCTCGGTTCAGGGACTCCATCAGCTTTTGATTTGGAAGTACGCTGATTGGCTGGAAGCGATTCAACACACGCCGGGCTGGAGAGCTTTGTCTGAGTTGAAGTGAAGTTGTACAGATTTTAGACTGGAGTCAGCAATCACGGGTGTTTAGTCTGCAGCCGAGCAGAGAAAGGGAGAAGGAATCGCTCAGAAAGATCTACTGCAGCCTCGACTCTGCCGGCACCCTGCAATAGATGGATTCCGACTCCACAAGGCGGAAAACGCGGAGGTGACACCCTTCTGCCTGCACAGAGAGGACACACAGCCAAACATATGCAAGGATCGGACTCCATGCCCATTGTATCTGGAAGTCGTGACACGGTGTGTATAAAACAAAAGTTTGCGAGCTGTTAATTGCTGTGCTGTATTATTAGGAGGCGCTTTCAAGTTTCCAGTACCAAATGTAGCTTAGTTTTAAGTTGCCAAAGGAAGTTGAGGGAATTGCTTTGCTGTTTTAACTTGGTCTGTGAGAGGAATCTCATGAACTGACCGATGTACCAAATGAATGCTAAAATGCACTTTAGATTTGTGTTTGCACTCCTGATGGTATCTTTCAACTGTGCTGTACTGGGCAAGAATTTGAAATACAAAATTTATGAGGAGCAGAGGGTTGGATCAGTAATTGCAAGACTATCAGAGGATGTGGCTGATGTTTTAGTTACGCTACCTAATCCTACTGTTCGTTTTCGAGCCATGCAAAGGGGAAATTCTCCTCTACTGGCAGTAAATGAGGATAATGGGGAAATCAGCATAGGGGCTAAAATTGACCGTGAACAACTATGCCAAAAAAACTTGAACTGTTCTATAGAGTTTGATGTGATCACTCTACCCACTGAGCAGCTGCAGCTTTTCCATATCGAAGTTGAAGTGCTGGATATTAATGACAATTCTCCCCAGTTTTCAAGATCCGTCATACCTATTGAGATATCCGAGAGTGCAGCAGTTGGGACTCGTATCCCCCTGGACAGTGCATCTGATCCAGATGTTGGGGAAAATTCCCTCCACACATACTCTCTCTCTGCCAATGATTTCTTTAATATCGAGGTTAGGACCAGAACTGATGGAGCCAAGTATGCAGAACTAATAGTGGTCAGAGAGCTGGATCGGGAGCTGCAGTCAAGCTATGAGCTTCAGCTCACCGCCTCAGACATGGGGGTGCCCCAGAGGTCTGGCTCATCCGTACTAAAGATAAGCATTTCAGACTCCAATGACAACAGCCCTGCTTTCGAGCAGCAGTCTTACCTAATACAACTCTTAGAAAACTCCCCCGTTGGCACTTTGCTCCTAGATCTGAATGCCACTGATCCAGATGAGGGCGCTAATGGGAAGATTGTATATTCCTTTAGCAGTCATGTGTCTCCCAAAATTATAGAGACTTTTAAAATTGATTCAGAGAGAGGACATTTGACTCTTTTCAAGCAAGTGGATTACGAAATCACCAAATCCTATGAGATTGATGTGCAGGCTCAAGATTTGGGTCCGAATTCAATCCCAGCTCATTGCAAAATCATAATTAAGGTTGTGGATGTTAATGACAATAAACCTGAAATTAACATAAACCTCATGTCCCCTGGAAAAGAAGAGATATCTTATATTTTTGAAGGGGATCCCATTGACACATTTGTTGCTTTGGTTGGGGTTCAGGACAAGGATTCTGGGCTGAATGGAGAAATAGTATGTAAGCTTCATGGACATGGTCACTTTAAACTTCAGAAGACTTATGAGAACAATTATTTAATCCTGACGAATGCCACACTGGACAGAGAAAGGAGATCTGAATACAGTTTGACTGTCATTGCTGAGGACAAGGGGACACCCAGTCTCTCTACAGTAAAGCATTTTACTGTTCAAATCAATGATATAAATGACAATCCCCCACACTTCCAGAGAAGTCGATATGAATTTGCAATCTCAGAAAATAACCCACCGGGGGCATATATCACCACTGTTACAGCCACAGATCCTGATCTTGGAGAAAATGGACAAGTTACGTACACCATTTTAGAGAGTTTTATCTTGGGAAGTTCCATAACTACGTATGTAACCATTGACCCGTCTAATGGAGCTATCTATGCCCTCAGAATCTTTGATCATGAAGAAGTGAGTCAGATCACCTTTGTGGTCGAAGCAAGAGATGGGGGAAGTCCGAAGCAACTTGTAAGCAATACCACAGTTGTGCTCACCATCATTGATGAAAACGATAACGTTCCTGTGGTTATAGGGCCTGCACTGCGCAATAATACCGCAGAAATCTCCATCCCCAAAGGGGCTGAAAGTGGCTTTCATGTCACAAGAATACGGGCAATTGACAGAGACTCTGGTGTCAATGCTGAACTCATCTGCTCCATAGTGACAGGTAATGAGGAGAATATCTTTTTAATTGATCCGCGATCATGTGACATCCATACCAATGTGAGCATGGAATCTGTTTCCTACACAGAATGGGAGCTCACAGTTATCATCCAGGATAAAGGCAATCCTCAGCTGCATACCAAAGTGCTTCTGAAGTGTGTGATCTTTGAATATGCAGAGTCGGTGACAAGTACAGCAATGACCTCAGTAAGCCAGGCATCTCTGGATGTCTCCATGATTATAATTATTTCCTTAGGAGCGATTTGTGCAGTCCTGTTGGTTATTATGGTACTGTTTGCAACGAGGTGTAACCGAGAAAAGAAAGACACGCGATCCTACAACTGCAGGGTCGCAGAATCAACTTACCAGCACCACCCAAAAAGGCCATCCAGGCAGATTCACAAAGGGGACATTACATTGGTGCCAACCGTGAATGGCACTCTGCCCATCAGATCTCATCACCGGTCATCTCCATCTTCATCTCCTACCTTAGAAAGAGGGCAGATGGGCAGCCGGCAGAGTCACGACAGTCACCAGTCCCTCAACAGTTTGGTGACAATCTCATCGAACCATGTGCCGGAGAATTTCTCATTAGAACTCACCCATGCCACTCCTGCTGTTGAGGTAAGATCGTACTTTCTGCCCCAGTTCACTGACAAAGTCACCATTAGTGTTCAGAAGTTGTGTAGGTGTTAGTTCCTAAATGTTTCCAGAAAGAAGTAACAACACTAACAGTATTCAAATACTAGCATACAAGTTACAGTGTGTGTATGTAGCAAGTATACACACCTTAGCACACTGTTTTCAGTTTTGTTTTAAAAACTTGCATCTACTATGTATAATGCTGAAAAATAAACGTGAGGCTTGCAAAGGACTAATTAGAATTTCCTTACTTCTTAGATTAAGATACTAAAAGCCAAAAATAAAGGGGCTTGCTTTATTTTCATAGTTGTTTCTACTGAAAAATCAAAAACTGAAGCCCCCAATCACATCTCTATGCCTATTATACTTGTTCAATTTCTGAACATTTTCTGACATTATTTTAAGTACATGTATTACAGTGTTGTCTTTTACAGCAATTACCACTTTTTAAAATAACCCATCACTTTAATCTGTGGTATAACAAAGACAATCAATCTGTTATTTACAGAGGCATGCTTTTTCAAAGAGTTGTTGTAGGTTGTATTACAGGTCATTTCCATCTGTCAGCTGTATGTGGTGGCTGGCTGAATCGTCTGCCACAGGCCAGCATATGTGAATCTTTAGAACCTGTGAGTATTTCAGGTTTGTTTCCTGGAATCAGTTCTGTCTCTGGTTTCCAGCAGGTCTCCCAGCTTCTTTCGATGCTTCACCAGGGGCAGTATCAGCCAAGGCCGAGTTTTAGAGGAAACAAATACTCCAGGAGCTATAGGTATGAATTATCCTCGGGTTACCTATTAATAGTCTCAAATAATATGAATGCTGAAGACTAAATCTATACTTTCCCTGATTTATCTTTCTAGATATGCCCTTCAAGACATGGACAAGTTTAGCTTAAAAGATAGTGGCCGTGGTGACAGTGAAGCAGGAGATAGTGACTATGATTTGGGGCGAGATTCTCCAATAGACAGGCTGCTGGGTGAAGGATTCAGTGACTTGTTTCTAACAGATGGAAGAATTCCAGCAGGTAAGAGAGTAGTGATACATAAATCCTTGTTTTCAGATTTACTATACCAGTAAAGTGAACAATTTCACCCATGCTTATATTCTTCTTTGTCCTTTGCACAAAAGTATCTGTAATCTGTGCATTACTGGCACTGAAAGTAAACTGAAACTCTTTAAAAAAAGTATTTTCTTGGAAGTCAGATAAAGTAGTTTGGTGAAAATGGAATAAGTAGAGACTCTAGCAGGACAAGAAGGAAGGAGTGGGGAGAGGAGGATGGAAAACCACACCACTCCCGTCTTCTCTCTACTCCATCCAGTACTGCCATAGGACACTTTGGAGCAACTCCTTATAAAATTACTGGGTGGTTGTGTCTTTCCAGACAGGCTGTGTGGGTGCATAGTGGTGAACTGGACTATAATTTGGAGGACACATTTCCTGAGTTGGGAATCAACTCACAGAATCAGAGATTAAAATATGCTAGGAAATGACACACTTTAATCACTAAAAATAGGAGAAAGACTGCATCTTTGTAGGTGGTAAGCACAGAAGAATATTTTTACCACCTTTCACTTATTGTCTGCACTATAGTAGAAGAGGAACAGGAGTCTAAGAGGGGAGTTCATAAGCCCACAGTTAGATGATGAAGATCCTGGTAAGTTATGAGCTGCATGTCCCTGAGTCCACTCCCTTCAATTGCTCAGCAGAAACTCTCTGAACCAATTGGATAAATACTGACTGCCTCATGGCAGCAACCCTGTTAGTCCTTCCTAGAATAACATTAGGCCAACTCTTAGGAACACATGAATGTTCCTTTGGCTACTTACCTTTCTAAATTCTGCTGAATGTTAATCAAATGACCACCAGTTGATAAATGAAAAGTAGCAGAACCAAATTATATTGAGTTTTGTCAAATATCTATTTTGTAATTACAGGTAAGTAAGAGAGTTGTAGTTACAGATAAATGGGCATGAGGGGCCTTCAGAAAGCCACAGAAATTCAGTTGAAGTTCATAAATAAAAATTCTAGCTCTTTCAAGTCATGGTAGTAGTGGTGTCCGTTTTGCAGTGGTATTAGTACTAGTTATAGTGGGCACACTACTAGTTACCAGCAGTGTCCAACACCAGGTGCACTGGGAGTCATACCCACACTGCCTTTCCCAACATGTTGACATAGGAATTATTAGTGGTGTTGGTAGTAATAGTAGCGTTCATATTTTTTTAGATTTGAAAACTGAAGCTTGTAAGGGTTAAACAATGTGTCCAGAATCAGGTAATATGTACATGGTAGAAGTGATTTGAACCAGTCCCCATACTCTTAAATACTAATCTATCTGGAGTAATATAAACTAACTTTTTTAAAATAGGTTGAGTGCATTTGTTCTTACAGTCTAAAGTCTTACTAACCTCTATGAAACTAGTAAATACTGCTGGGTTAATTGTTATTACATCCTACCATTTCTGGCAGGATGAATGCATAGAAATGACTTATAGTGGCATTAGGGCTACAAGGTACATGAGAGCTGATATTTGCAGTTATCTATGATGGTTTTGTTTCAGTTTAATTCATTTAAAGAGAAATTTCTGAAAATCTAGTGGAAAATATATGACCTTATGCAACTTGTTCAAAGAATCAATTTTATTATTCTTATACATGAAGTGAAAGAGCTGGCTGAATTACTATGATTCTGTGATACTGACAGAATTCTAGTTTTGAATAATGTGATTTTCCAGAGTATTATTTCATAAAACAGAAAAGTAGCATAATGGGCATAGTATTAATATTTTATTATGTAAGTTATTTTTAAATTATATGAAGTCTATTCATTGACATTTAAAGTTTTCAGCATAGTTAAAAGGAGAATAACTAGCCCTACTTAGATAACTTGGCCATTTCTATACCTAAGTGGTACCTTAAGTCTTTTTTAATTCTGAAATTTTATAATTCTAATAGCTAATCATGGAGGAACTTTTTTTTAAATGTCAACACCTCTTTCAATCTTTCCTGTATTTTCAAAGTTAGCAACACCAGATATGTTCATGTCAGGAGAGTTATCTAATGCTGGAATTAAAAAAAGTAAAATAAAAATAGATGTTAAAGGATAAAGACATTGGGGATACAATAGGAAGATATAAAGTCTACGTAATAGGGAGTCTTGTTTAGTGAGTGACTTTAGCCCCCTTCTGAGTCACATTTCTTTTCAAAGTTGGAGGTTTACTTTTATATTACCATTAATGACAGCATTTAATGTATAGATAGCCCTTTAAAAAACAACCCCATGTTTACACAATCATACTTAATCCAGGTGCTCGGTTGGAGAGCCATGCTGCTGGCATATGGAGTCCTTTTGCATCGGACGGTATCACAGTAGATACATTTCTGCCTTGCAGACTACCTGCTTCCATGCTGTGTATGCTGGAAAGTATTCTGGAGGCAGAGAGCACCAGGATATCACCAATGCTCCATAAAATATTTTAACCTTTACTCATGTTTGGCTAGTATAGAAAGAAATGTACATATTAAGTATCTATACAGAGCTAACTGTCTTTAAATCATGACTATCACTATGGTGATACTTCACCCATTTTCTGGTTTATTATTCATTCTGGCAGCTTCTGCCTGCACATGAGAGTATAAAACTTGTGCTTTGTAAACTTGTATTCCCAGGAAATATCCCAAATTTAAAAAAATGTAAGTCCACATCTGAATGTCATTAACAGCAATCAGTACAGTTTTCGAAAGCATGGATATTTTTAGGCCTTAAGTATCTTATTCCAACTATTTTTCTGCATCAGACTGTGATCAAATATAGATTATGTTATGTTGCATTGCCTGCCAACAGGGTCATTTCTGGTCATTCATTCTATTAATTCCCACAGAAATATTCGGCACTTTGAGCAGTAAAATCAGCCTACATTTTTGTCTGTTAGCTCATGTTTGTCAACATACTTTATTCCTTATTCAGCTTTGAACTATAGTACTACACGTAGTCCTGTAAAATCTTTTTCCCAACATACTCTCTGCTCCAGGATGACTTACAAAGGCTTTAGATTTCGTTTTACTTTTTAATATTTTTTATCATTATTCTTAATATTTTAAGACTTTTAATACTTCTTGATTGAGCTCATTGCATTTTTTCATCCATCTGTCATTTGTGATTACTTAATTGAAACATTCCTCTCTAATTCCATGTTCTCTCCATTCTCACGGCTGGTACTCTCATTCTGGCTTCTCTTCCATGTCTGGTTTATGGACCAGCATACAAACTGATGATATTCAGTATCTAGCAGGTTCTCCCTTTGTTAATCTTTCTTTAATACAGCTTGAACAACTTTTTCAGAACACTGTAATTTACATTTTTTTGGGTTCAAAATAAAAAACTGACTTTTGTTGCACCGCATCACCTCATTAATCACTTATCTTGGCATTCCAAGTCAATTAAATCCACTACTAGATTGTTAAAACTCTTTTTTTTGTATCTTTTGCAATAAGCAGAGCCATCTCTTCACAAAACATACTAATTCTTTCCTCTCTGACTGAAACCCTGGCTTATCCTCATTTTGTCTATCTAAATCCTGTTTGTCTCTTAAAATCTATTTCAAGTTTCTTTTTCTTTAACTACTTTAGCCTCCACCTCCACTGGTTCTTCTTTTCTTGACTCGCCCTCAGCATCATATAGTTTGGTACTTTAGGCATTTAGGGACTCATTTACTACACTTGACTCAGAACTAGATTTGAATACATTTGAGGGCAAGCCGTAGCACTTCATGTATTGCAGGCTCTTAATAGATAGCTGATGGATTGCTCAATAACTGATGCTTGATAGAAGTTTAGGCATACGGTTTTCTTTTTATACTTGATTCTTGTTCCTGCCCTCCCTGGAAGGTGTAGCATGGTGACAAAATTGATAGTGATTGAGTGGGAAAGAAGTTCCCTGTTTCCCTTTTGTCCTCCCCTCCCCAGAGGAAATTTAAGCACCTAGCAGAGCTTTCAAGGAATGACAGAAAGATTAGCCACTTGCACTACTGCCAGCAAGTTCTCCTTCATTGGATGTGCTGTGGATCCTCTGTGGCACTGAATTATGTATACGTGGAGAATGTTTTCAAATAATAAAGTCTTCAGGGAAACAGTTGAAAGTATCAATAAAACTGAGAAATGCCCTCTTCTGCACCAAGGTTCTTCCATCCCTATTATTTTTGCCATCTTTCTCCTCATTAGTCTTTCTTCATCCATTTTCCATCTTTTCTGAATTTTTCACTTTGTGTTAGTATTTTATTATTAAAGCCTCATTTATTTATGGTAAAGATGTAAAATAGCATTCCCTCCTTAAAAACTACCTATGACCAAAAATAATTTGAACATGGACTATGATTTTAATCACCCAGATTGTATTTTTGGGTAAATGTTCTTTGTATTCAGGTCTCCAGAAAATTGATCATGTTTAGATGTCTGAGAAGTTTATGTACTGTGTTTCTTTTTATTCTCCTCTGTTATTAAACATTAAAACAAAAAATAGCCAATCGAATAATCAATCAAATAATCATGTCCTTCACACAGAGTTTAAAGGCCAGATGACAAATTAAAGATACCATGAGGTCTGTTCCTCTTCCTTCTAACAGGATGTAAGCAACACAACACTGGTAGGGCTCCTTTCCATTTCAGAGACTTAGGGAAAAAAATTCATTACCACTTTGATAGTTATTTCACTGCTGAGAAAACCTCACTGCAATTAAGGTATTCCAGTTACTGTCAACTCCTTTTGGTTTTGTCCACATTAAGTGATGAATAACAATAGTTGGTGAACATTTCTAAGTAGTAATAATGCATGAAATCAGCATGTCTAAACCTGATTTTATTCTTAAATCATACTTCTTTATTTAAATTTAGCTTTTCTTCACAGCAAAATTACACAAGGATTCTCAATGCTTGCCCTCTTTTCCTTATCCCACAGAGATTCTCAGAGAATCACTTTTTCTCACTCGCACAACTTGTTCTCACTTTTGTTCCTCAAATTATCCCCTTCTCTATTAAGAACTGAGGTCCAGAATTGGTGAGGTATAAGAACCAAATTATCTCAAGATTTAAGCCCTGAAGAACAGGGACTTCCACATTTTATTAATGAAGTCCTTTACTTCTCCTTTTTTGAAAGGAAGTATTTATTCTTTACTTTTTTCGGTGCATATACCTTTTCTAAAATTTTATTTTATTGTATAGGAACACTTAAACATAAGATCTCCACCTTTAAATATTTCACTGTATGACACAGTATAACAGATCTCCAGAGCTTATTCAGCTTGCTTAACTGAAAGTCTATGCCCATTGGTTAGTAATTCCCCATTTTCCCCTTTCCCTGCAGCTTCTATCAATCTGAACCCCCACTGCTGGATTCTATGAATTTGGCCATTTTAGATACCTCCTGTACATCGAGTCATGCAATATTTGTCCTTCGGTGACTAGCTTATTTCACTAACCATAATGTCCTTAAGGTTTACCCATGTTGTTACACACTGTGAAATTTCCTTCTTTTGAAAGGTCAAATAGTATTCCATTGTTTATATGTACCACTTTTTCTTTATCCATTCATCTGATAGTGTACATTCATATTGTTTTCACATTTTGGCTATTGTGAATAGTGCTGCAGTGAACAGGGGAGTCCTAATAAGTCTTTGAGATGGTGATTTTAATTCTTTTGGATAAATACCCAGAAGTGGGATTGCCTAATAATATTGTGTTTCTATTTTTAATTTTTTGAGGAATCTCCATAATGTTTTATATAGTAGCTGTACCATCTTGCATTCCCAACAGCAGTGTACAAAGTTCCCAATTAATCCACATCCTTGCCAACACTTGTTATTTTTGTTTGTTTGCTTTTTTATTACAGCCATTCTGTCAGGTTTGAGGTGGTATCTCATTGAGGCTTTGATTTGCATTTCCCTGATGATTAGGAAATATGTAGTCATTGCTTATTTTATGCAGACACTTTACCCCAGTAATGGGGATAGACCAATCAATATGACAGAAAACTTGCTTCCCCTGACAAGGAATTTGTCATTGTTCAAGAGTCAGTCTTTTTAGCAATAATTTTGGAGGAAGAGGAATCATTCTGAAGTAGATCTCTAGAATTAGCTCTGCATATGTAGGTATGCTGATTTCAATCAGGTTACCATTCAAATCTAAGATATTATTTTGCATTTTATGCATTCTGTTTTTTGCTCTAAAACTAAATCATGCTATTGAAGAAACCTAATTGTCACAGAAAGAGATGGATAATTTGTGGAGGATATTTTACATCTTCACATTTCCTGTTATGTAGTTCAGTTATTCTACTTGCCACATTTAGAGATTTTTCTCCTCTTTATTTTTCTGCTTTTCTCATATCAGCTGCTGTTTTCTTTGAGTGTGGCCACTTGCTTTCCAATAGGGCATCATAACAACTGAAAGAACTAACCAATGGATTTTTCATATTCTTCATGTTTTGATGACTTTTCCATCTTTTTGAATTTCAAACCTTTCAAAGAAGAATTTTAATAGAGTAACAACAGCTGTCTGGTAGTTGAGGATACTTGGCATTGCTATTTGAAGCAACAAGTCAACAAATGCTAAAAGAGATTAATAGATATTCTTGATGCTGCCTTTAAAAGGAAGTAGGCCAGATAGACCTCCAGCTCTAGAAAGTTACTCCAAGGTATTCCTCAAGGATTATCTGGTGGCATTCTAAAATTAAGGATTTCACCTTAAAGCTCTGATTCCTTTTTAGGATTTATGTTCAGCAAATATTTCACAACCTACATCTTAGCTCTTTCCCATTCATTCTCATTTATAAGTTATCAATCCATTTTCCCATTATTTGAGTAGCAGAAATGATATTCCTGAGAAGTATATGAGTCGTACATAACCTTCCTTTCCTTATTTGATAAACAAGAAAAAAATCTTTAGACCAGGTCCATGTAACTAGCGGTCAAATTACAGCCATAATTGTAGTCTATCTAGTGTATAAAATAAGGGCTTAGTGTTATGGTAGTAGTTTGAAACTGTCATTCTGTATTTGGAATAAAATTACACGTTGCCCCTCATTTCCCGTCCTGCTAAGTATAATGACGAATCCCCCATTCTCCTCGAGCGCAGCGATGAGGCTCTGCACAGAGGAGTGCAGGGTCCTCGGACACTCCGACCAGTGCTGGATGCCGCCGCTGGCGTCGCCATCCTCCGATTACCGGAGTAACATGTTCATTCCCGGGGAGGAATTCCCAGCCCAGCCGCAGCAGCAGCGTCTGCACCCGAGCCTTGAGGATGACGCCCAGCCTGTGGATTCTGGGGAGAAGAAGAAGAGCTTTTCCACTTTTGGCAAGGACTCCCCAAACAACGAGGACGCTGCGGATCCCAGCACGTCCTCCCTGCTCTCGGAGATGAGCAGCGTGTTCCAGCGCCTCCTGCCCGCTTCCCTGGACACCTACCCCGAGTGCGGCGATGCGGACCGGTACAACTCCCTGGAGCGCCGGAAGGCGCCTCTGCCTGCCAAGACCGTGGGCTACCCGCAGGGGGTGGCGGCCTGGGCAGCCAGCACCTATTTTCAGAATCCCACCACCAACTCTGGCCCCCCAATTGGAACTCACTCCAGTGTGCAGCCTTCTTCCAAATGGCTGCCGGCCATGGAGGAGATCCCCGAGAATTACGAAGAAGATGATTTTGATAATGTACTCAACCATCTCAACGACGGGAAACATGAACTCATGGATGCCAGTGAGCTGGTGGCTGAGATCAACAAACTGCTTCAAGACGTGCGCCAGAGCTAGGAGATTTTTAACAAAGCATTTTTGTTTCCGTGTATATGGAAACAGGGAACAGAGAAATCCCTGAGAAGAACTGGCTTTGCCAAATAGTTGCATTTATCATAAATGTGTCTGTGTATATTGAATATTAAATACTGTATTTTCGTATGTACACAATGCCAGTGTGATTATTTTAATCTGTATTTTAAAAATACATTTGTACCTTATATTTATGTGTAATTTAACAGACAAATTTTATTTTTTTACTCCCATGACAAACATCTTTCCTAATCATATAGAAACTAGCCACTATTCAAATATATTATTGAACCAACTACAAAAGCAGTGTGTAGATTAGTTATATTGGGGAAGAAAATGTTATGCTGTAGGGACACCACCATTAAAATATTACACAATTCTTAGTTCCATTAAGTGATCCACCTTCCTTTTTCAATACTGTTTAAAAATAAAGCATCAATAAAAATGTTAATTTTATTATTATTATTATTGTTATTATTTTTCCTTGCGATGAGGCTCTGCACAGAGGAGTGCAGGGTCCTCGGACACTCCGACCAGTGCTGGATGCCGCCGCTGGCGTCGCCATCCTCCGATTACCGGAGTAACATGTTCATTCCCGGGGAGGAATTCCCAGCCCAGCCGCAGCAGCAGCGTCTGCACCCGAGCCTTGAGGATGACGCCCAGCCTGTGGATTCTGGGGAGAAGAAGAAGAGCTTTTCCACTTTTGGCAAGGACTCCCCAAACAACGAGGACGCTGCGGATCCCAGCACGTCCTCCCTGCTCTCGGAGATGAGCAGCGTGTTCCAGCGCCTCCTGCCCGCTTCCCTGGACACCTACCCCGAGTGCGGCGATGCGGACCGGTACAACTCCCTGGAGCGCCGGAAGGCGCCTCTGCCTGCCAAGACCATGGGCTACCCGCAGGGAGTGGCGGCCTGGGCAGCCAGCACCTATTTTCAGAATCCCACCACCAACTCTGGCCCCCCAATTGGAACTCACTCCAGTGTGCAGCCTTCTTCCAAATGGCTGCCGGCCATGGAGGAGATCCCCGAGAATTACGAAGAAGATGATTTTGATAATGTACTCAACCATCTCAACGACGGGAAACATGAACTCATGGATGCCAGTGAGCTGGTGGCTGAGATCAACAAACTGCTTCAAGACGTGCGCCAGAGCTAGGAGATTTTTAACAAAGCATTTTTGTTTCCGTGTATATGGAAACAGGGAACAGAGAAATCCCTGAGAAGAACTGGCTTTGCCAAATAGTTGCATTTATCATAAATGTGTCTGTGTATATTGAATATTAAATACTGTATTTTCGTATGTACACAATGCCAGTGTGATTATTTTAATCTGTATTTTAAAAATACATTTGTACCTTATATTTATGTGTAATTTAACAGACAAATTTTATTTTTTTACTCCCATGACAAACATCTTTCCTAATCATATAGAAACTAGCCACTATTCAAATATATGATTGAACCAACTACAAAAGCACTGTGTAGATTAGTTATATTGGGGAAGAAAATGTTATGCTGTAGGGACACCACCATTAAAATATTACACAATTCTTAGTTCCATTAAGTGATCCACCTTCCTTTTTCAATACTGTTTAAAAATAAAGCATCAATAAAAATGTTAATTTTATTATTATTATTATTGTTATTATTTTTCCTGCTCCCTACTAGTTCTAATTGTTCAATTCTCACAGCAAAATTGAAACATAAGGAGACATTTTATTTCACGACTGGAAAATATCTTTCACAATGATGAAAATAAGACTAGAGTTAATGTTTCCTGACTCCCAGGCTCCTACTATTCCAGGGCATCACACTGACCTGTTCTTGAGGATATTGTCTACTAATAATCAAGGGAAACAATAAATTTCATTCCATCCTTGTAACAGGAGAAGTGCTCCAGGGAAATGGAATCTGTCCTATAAATGGATAACAGATTGTATTCTAACAGTGTAGAGTATAAATGGGCAAAGACAGTTATGTCAGTGCCCTCCAAGGGTAGAAAATATAATTGATTTATTCTGAAACCATTCTATCTGCATCATCCCCTCTCCTCTCACAATACTTGAACATTTTTATCCTTTGTGATGTGTTTTACTATGACTATTCACTTTTAGCTTTGTCTCCAGTGCATGCTGTTATATTTTGGTTTTATTTTTAGTATAAGAACATTTATGAAATTACATTTTGTGTTATTGCAATTCTGTTTTATTTCTTGTGTGACAAATGACAAATTCTTTAATTATTGTGTTGTTATCTCTCTGTGTGGAATGCTTTAGTAAAGGAGATCATTATTATAACTGTTCTCTTTTATGACCAAGCTTCTATTGATGTTATTATTTCTATGAATACACTATCTTGACTGTACTCTCCAGAAAATTTTACTGTCAATGAAAATAAAAGGAAAATTAAAGTAAAGCTAAAGAACTGTACATAAGTCAGAATCCTGTTCCTACATACATGTTCAAAAGCATTGCATAAAGCATATGCTCCAGAAGAGGGTAATTCAGAGTTGGGTCTCCGGTGATAAAGAGGGAATATTCAGCTAGCTCAACAAACAAAAACAGAATGAAAAAGAAATGAATTTGAGATCTGTAAAGGAAATGAACGTAGTCTACCATATTCCCAGTAGATTAAAGAATTTAAATACATTTAAAGTGTAAAGAAGAAAGACCAAACAGTAAGTGCTTGAACATTTTTCAAATTTAAAAAATATATCTTAGAACATTTTGTATTAAGTTGTATTAAAAAAAAAGTACCCTTACAATGTTTCCAAGAGGTGGAAGTATCCACCTTGGCTTACTACTAAGGAATTGAAATACTAGGAAAATTAAATAATCGAAATATTGGCTAAACTTAGATATTTTAATTCTCAAGTGGGTACCACATCAAATAGACGTGTTATATGTTTCTAATGCACATTTTCCTTTGTAGGAGGGATTGCAATTACAAGTGAAATTTCAGTTTATTTTTCAGTAGGTAACACACACAAATGCTAACCACATTTAAAATACTTTTTCAAATTCACTTCCTTTCAGTACATACTATCATTAAAAAAAAGGCTTTCATAACTTCACTGTTCTTAATTTAAAGCATCAACAATAACTTAGGAAGCAAAGCTGGAAATCGATGTTTGAATAATGTGCAGTAAATAAAATACAATATTATATTAAATACAAAACTTCTGCATATTGGCCATATAGTAAGGATTCCGTGTCTTAAGCTCCTTGCTTCATCAACATACTCCATTTCTTACTGTTTTCCAAGACCACAGCGTGCAAGATTTTTGCTTTTCATTCCTGTTCCTTTTACAGATAATATTATTTCAGTGAAAGCTGGAATGTCTGGTCCTACCATAGCAATCTAACCTCTCACGAAGTTTGCATTTCTTCTTCCTTGATACCATGTCCCTGTTCACTTTGAAGCAACCAAGAAGCACTTCAGTCAGAGACCCCTTTCTCCAGTCATTATTTCAAATCCCTTTGTCCTCATTCCATTCCTTTACAGGCTCTTCAGTGAATATCATCTATTAAAGTAATCTCCTTCCAAAATGTAATTCAACACTAAATCTGTAGCTTATCAAATATTCCTTTTAAATGCTTGTTTATAGGATGATTAGAATTGTCTTTCTTCAAATTCTGCAAGTTATTAACATTGTTCTTTGTTTATCATTTATTTCTTGGTATTTCGTAGATGGGGCTTATAGCTTTGTGAATCATTTAAATCCTTGCTCCTCCTATCACACAGATATCACGTTTACCACTTAACAATAGATGATTATTAAGGCAAAAGATGGGTAAGTAACTCTCTTATTGGAGTCACTGAAGAAGTCCCATCTGTGAAAATCAGCTTAGCTTAATTGTTTCACTCTTTTAACTAATGTCAAAAATACTCAAAATTGAGTGTGATTTATTGACACATTAAAATTCAAAGAACTGTGTATCTTAAAATTTAGTTTTATGAGTGAAAAATGTATTGCCTGACCTAGCAACTTTCAGTCTTGCAGGAACTCATCCAAGACAGTTCAGGCAATGTGCCAAACTATTGAAAAAGTTTGATGTTTCCATTCTAATTCTATATGCCTTGATAATATATCATCATAGTACCAAAGATTAGGAATATTCAGAACTCTGAAAGGCAATAAATATTATATAAAATTAAATTCAAACCATATAAAAGTCTAAGATTTATGCTGTTTTAAAAAGAAAAAAAACAATGAAGGTTTTCAAAAGAACCAGCACATTGACTTCCTTAATTGCATGTTAAATATGTAAAACAAAGCTATCTTAACATTTATTAACTGTTTTCTATGTTTTGAAAGTTTGAGATGCCTTACTGATTATAATCATTTTTAATATATTAGATGACTTTGAAAATGATAGAGAAGATTCTACATGGTTATACAAAGTTTTAATTTAATGAATAAGGTTATTTGGGCCACTGAATAGCCATCTTATTCAGTGTAATTCCTAGAACAAAGAGTAAGTCACTTTTTTGAAATAAATGAATGTTATCTAAAGTTTGACATTGCAATTTGAAAAACTTTATTGCCCAAATTGTGATTCATTCTTCATCTGTGTGACTGGAGTCATAGTTCAGTATGTACACATTGTATACTAGAAATAATAAGACCTTTAAAGTAATCTAAACCAAAAAGTTGTTTAATAGGTAGACCCTATATTATAAATCTGAAAATGATAGTATGTATTTTTCATTAGTTTGCATTTTGTATTATATGTTAGTTTCTACAACTTGTGGTGGTGTTAAAAGAATTTTATGGGGAGCTGGTAGTGCAAAACTTGCTACTGAAATTTACATACTCCCTGACTTTTAGAATTGCAGTAACATCCTACCCTGGCACTTTAAATAATAGTGCTCTATTTCCTTTTATGGCTTCTCCAAGTTGCTCCTAATTCTTGTTTGCTTTTTCAGATTTTATCTTTTCAATTTATTTATTTTATGGTATTCCTCCTTGATAATTTATCCTAGTGTCCACATTTTATAGTGTTCTTCTCCAATTCTTTGCATGTATATAGTTCTTTCTACAACCATCTTGATTTTATCAATTCTTTCCATGTTTTTTCTGTTATTAATATAACAGATCATATTTTTGAGATATGAAGCTAATACCTTTCCTTCTCCTGAACCTTTTTCCTATGATTCACTAGTCTAGTGGAAGGATAAATTTATACAATTAAGAACAAGAGGTAATTTCTTTTGTTCCATGTTTTAAATTAAATGCTTTAGAGTGCCTGGGGAGATACCAGTTACTTGACTTATTCAGGGGAGGAAATTAATTTTTTCTAAATGTAAAACACTTCTCTTTATGCATTAGGTTGAACTACGAAAGATGAGCTTTGAATTTTACTATAAGCCATAGTTAAGTGCAAAAAAAATGAATGTTAAGTAAAAAAGTAAGAAAGGTCCATTGCCACACAGAAAAGAAAGATAACAGACAATTGTTGAGGGTATAAAGCCCTAG